ATGCTCTCACCAGCTGAGCCATCCTGCCACCTGTTGGCAGCTCAGCAGCAGCTCACCTTGGGCACAGCACCACTGGTCCATGTGGGAATCAAACCGGCGGCCCTGTTGCTCAGAGCTCATGCTCTTAAGCTAACTCTTAACCAACTGAGCCACTCAGCCAGCGCTATATTTCTTATTGTAAATCACGATATTACAGATATAAACAATATAAAAGAGAAGTGAGTATCCCCAGAAATGGGAAAATGAGATGTAGTATTACATATTGCAGTAAGGCATTACTGCTTGATAAGCAAGCAATTGAGCCATGTAGGTATATTTGGAATAAGTTTGGGGCAAAAGAAGCAGGTGACTAGCTGATTTTGGTGCGTGGAGCCCTCATGGGGTTCAACAGCAGTGAGGGTTCTGGGACTCAAGCCCAGCTGGCCATTCATCTGCCTTGATCACTGCAGACACACTCAGGGGGTGTGGGTAAGAAAACTTGGATCCATTCCTTGGAGCTTGCAAACCTCTTTCTTGGTGGACTTCAGGCTGGACAGGGAGGACTTTTTACAACTGTTTTTCATAGTTTTATCCTCAGATCTTCAGTATCAGGGTCACTAGGGGACTCATTAGGTATGCATTTTCTCACTCCTGAATGCAGTCCTTCTGAATCAGGCACTTGAGATCAGGCCCTAGAATCTGTGTCTTAAAAGTTTCCAGGTGATTTGATGCATGTTTAAGAGCATTCTATCTTTCTGTTATGGTTCCTGTGCATGAGGTACCTCATTTCTTGTGATTAAGTGGAATCCCACGTATATACGCAAGATTTTTACAATGAGGTTACATAAAGGCATCAGTACCCTAATATTTAAAAATATTTGTACCCTAATATTTAAAAAATATACAAAATGTCAGACTTTTAATTTTTTTAAAAGATTTTCACTTTTTAAATTTTTATTTTTATTGGGGAATTGGGGAAGGGGAACAGCCAAATTGCTGTACTTCAATCTTAGTTGTGGAGGGTGCAGCTAGCTGAGCTCCAAGTCCAGTCGCTATCCGGCTGCCCGTCGGCAGCTAGTGGCCACTCAGCTCAAGGTGCTGTGTTCAATCTTAATTGTGGGTGGGTGTAGCCCACCATCCCATGCGGGAGTTGAACCAGCAACCTTGTTGTTAGGAGCACATGCTCTTACTAGCTGAGCCATTCTGCCACCTGTTGGCAGCCCAGCTGCAGCTCAGCTCGGATGCAGCTCACTGGCCCATGTGGGAATCAAACCGGCGACCCTGTTGCTCAGAGCTCACACTTTTAACCAACTGAGTACTCGGCTGACCCAATTTTTTAATAAAGAGGTACTATACTACATACATTTATAAAATAGAAATTAATAATCTCTGATCACTCTAGCTCCTGTAGAAAAACAAAGTTTACAGTATAGAACAACCTTTTTAAAATTGTGTCTGCACATGTGCTTATTACTCTGAAAGCATGCCTGAATGTTCAAATATATTCCTATATATGTTGTTTATATTAGTAAAAATCAAATCATACATTTTATACTGATCCAAAGATAAATTTTCTCACTTAATATATCTTGGACAACAGTTACTTCATTTTACACCTGATACCTCCTTATCTCCACACTTTGTATACTTCAAGTTGTCTTGTTTAGACTGTTTTGTTTTTGTTGTCTGCACATTGCAAACTGGCCTGTTGCAGTCACGGATGTAGCCTTGACTTCTCATTGCCCCTTGGTTCCCACAGGGCCTCTCCTACCATACCACAGGAAACTCCCTGGATTCCTCTGGAATCTTACCTTCCTGGTCAAGCTACTCTGAAAAGTTCACAGGAATGAGAACCAAAACCAAGCCATGTCACCTGAAGGTCAGGAGGCTGGTAATGCTGTACCAGTCCTTGCGAACCAGAACTGTCACATCCTGCTAGTCAGAGCCAGGTTTGGCTTTGGTGTCCACCAGTGTCCACAGCCACATCATCCCAGCCATGTTCTGCCCTACAGACCTAGCTGTGAGATTATCCCAACATGGGGATTTCTATTGCTCAAGTGCCACATGTGGAGTGTCAGCCTACAGAGGGAGAAGTGTGAATTCAACTTCTGGGACTAGCTGTGAGGACACCGCTTCTGGAGAAGCAAGCTGGGATTCAGTGGTTGGTGGCACTTGTGTGCACCTGACCTCTGAAATGAAAGAGAGGGTCTCCATTTCTGTGGGGAGAAGGAAAAAGAGAGCTTAGCCTTGTGAAAAAGAATCAACAGGCCCCAGTGGAGTCATTTGTGCTGAGCCTCACATCAGCAAACCAAGACTGGATACCTAACCTAATTGCAGTTTCAGCATCCCTCAGGAATGTGATCTTTAACCAGTCAAACTGAAATTACCAGGTCAGCACTAGTGAGATAATCCACCCAAGAGAACCTTTCTGTCCCCCTTAATAGAGAGACCTTGCCTGAAACAATACATTTTTTGCTAATAATTTTCTTTCCCTGCCCCCTTCCTGCTTTTAACAGCCTTCCATTTGTACAGCCTCTTGGAGCTCCCTTACTTGATGGGGTGCTGCCTGATTAATGAATCATTGAATAAAGCCAGTTGATCTTTAAATTTACTCAGTTGAATTTTGTTACTTAACAGCCTAAAGCTTCAGATTCCCCCTCTCCCCCCATCCAAGGAAGGACCTCCTGAGAGGACTCAGCTGCAAGACTTCTTGTCACCTTCCCATCCCTGAACCCTCTGAGCTCTGCTGCATCTACTTCTGCTCTGTGAGCTCCCTTTCCCTGGCAGGTTTGGAAAGTTCCCTGGCAGGAGGATGGGAGGATACATCTCCAACTGCAATTAATCCTTCCCTCAAGGGTCATAGACCTACATTGTCTGTCCAATGCCTGCAAGCAGCCACTCCTTGTATTTTGTATGGTTTTATAGTTGATTATGACACGAGGGTAAGTAAGACCCTGTTACTCCATCATAGCTGTAACCTACAACACATTTGTAGAAAATAAAAGTGTTTCTGAGTATTTTAA